CAGTATGACAATAAGACCAGTTGTTCCAAAGTGGATGGTTGTAACATTGGTGTCTGATACATGAGGCCATCAGTTATAAAACCAGTGTGCCAATGTGGACCTGTTACTACACAGTAACAATTCTGATGTTCATGCAATGTTGACAAATAATTTACAGACCACTTTTTTCCTTTCTGACAACTACAATTATCTTCTGTTCCATGCTAATCTCCTTTGAAGTACTTCCCCAGTTACCTGATACAGTCAGTAAAATAACTGTGCCACTGCTGCAAGCATCTGCAGAAGTCAGGTGTTTTGAATTCAGCAAATAACAGCCCATGATTCTTCTTACATTGTGGTAACCTCTGAAAGGGACTGTGGTTTCTCTAAGTTCCTTGTAAAGGTCCTGACATGACTCTGCTTTTTCTCATCATTCACCAGATAAAGAACAAATTTTGCAGCAATCTGTCACACGTCGTGTAAAAATTCTTTGGCATGTTTCACATGAAATTCTCACCTCATCCACCAAGCCACAGCAGGCGACACATCTGCTTTCATCAAGATGCTTGATTCATATGACATTTTCACCTGTTTTGATCAAGGATGGACGTCTTTGTTAACTGATGTCACTCCACTTCTAAACTTGGTAAACCAATCTGATGTTTGAGTTCTGCTCACAATTTTCTCTCTGAAAGCAAGTTTTAACATCTTGCTGGCTTCTGTATCAGTTTTGCCTAGTATGATGCTGAATTTGACGTAAAAATTTGTCATTTTGTGATGAAATGCGTGTCACAGAGGGCACAACATACAACCACAATTCAAAAGGTGATACTATTAATCATGCAAGCAACAACTTGAAAATGGATGGCAAATGACTCAGCAGATCCTACTGTACCTTCAACTGCTACAAGAGTTTTTGTCTTAACTGCAGTAATCTAATATCACAGCCAGTATCAAACTACCTGATCACACCACGCATACTTACACTCTTATCAACATAACATAAAAATGTATGCATGCCTTACAGACAGAGTTGAAATAAGTGAAGTACTTTCATGGCACTACTGCCTAGAGACATTAAGCTATACCCATTATGCAGCACTGACCACTCCACCTACTAGCTACTGAGAATCTAATACTTTGTGTGTGAATGTGTTGGTTTGAAGGCATGTCAATCTTGAAGACCAATTCACACCTAAAGAAAATTTATCATAAAAAGTCCATTACTTAAAACTTTATGTATGTCAGGCTGTAAAGTATACTGACATATGCTGATGGTAAAGCTACAGATTAAATAAAGTAGAATGGCAAGTTACGGGTCAATATCCCAGGCTGTATACCACTAATGAGGTGAACAGTTTACACACTGACAACACCGAAAAACAAACAGCCTGCTTGAAAAAAAGAGAGATCACAAAGTTTTCACCAAACTAACATAAATTTTCAGTTACATTAAATTGATGGCTGTTACTGTATACATAAATTAGAATGGGTTCATTTTTTTACCTGTTGGTGATCATGTCAACAGCTGTTTTGATCTGACAAATTTATCCATTTGTATCCTATCAGTTTTATGTAACTACAGTTTTAAATTTGCACAAAAAAAATCAATAGATTCTGTAACAGGATAACGATACTTGTTAAGGGCAGGGCTGTAATGGCATCCAAAACTAATTTCTGGCTTCTAAATTACCACTTTAGGGCATCTTTCTTCAGTAATAAGAGAAACATAAAAATTGTGATGGGAGATTTAAATACCAAAGTTGGAACTGAAAATGAAGGACTGTAACATGTAATGGGAAGACATGGAACAAATGATACAAATGAAAATGGCGAAATGTTCATAGATTTCTGTGCCAGTCATGAACTTACTATTGGAGGAACTTTTATACATAAAGAAATACATAAAATACTTGGGTTCTCCTGACCTTATAACTTAAAATTAAAAAGATCATATTGCAAGAAATTGGTCTTTCAGTAGATCCCTTCTAGATCTTCACACAAAAAAGGAGAAGATATTGGTACTGACCATCAACTAGTTGTAATACCCTTTTGAATGAAAATTACTGCCAACAAGAAAAAACATACTGTTATGAGGAACAGACTAGACGTAAAGAAATTGGAAAATGCACACCTTAAACAATAATATAAAATTCAATTAAGAAATTGATTTGAAGCTTTTAACCAAGCAGATGATAAAGATATTGAAGAAACATGGTGTAAAATTGAAGGCATTTATGTGGGAATTGCTGAAAATATATGTTTTAAAGAAACAAAATAAAAGGACTGGATGTCAGAAGAAACATGGATGAAAATTCAAAAATGGAAAAAATATAAAAATGATGTTAAACAGTTCCAAAACAAGAAGGAAAGAGCTTAAATTACAAGAAGAATATTGGGTAGCTGACACTGAAGTTAAAAAGAACACCATAAGGGATAAAGGAAAATGGGTGAATGAACAAGCAAATAAAGCAGATGAAGGTGTAAGGGGAGGAGATATAAAGGAATTATACATTACAAGAAAATTGTGTAAAAGAAAATATTAGGTTATGCAACCTATAAAAAACAAACATGGGGCTCTTCTTACAAACGAAGATGATCAAATGAGAAGATGGCAAGAGTATTTTACAGAATTTTAAATCCAACGGTAACAGAAGCGATACCTACATCAACCCCATCGTCATCACCAACAGACAGGTGTGATGGGGCAAAGAAAGAAAGAAAGAAAGAAAGAAAGAAAGAAAGAAGCAAAGGATAGACCACAAAATAGAGATGGAATTAAAAAAGCTCTCAAAAACACAAAAATTGGTAAGGCCCCAGATTTAGTCAATATACCACTCGAAATGTTAGAGGAGGATATGGATTTAACAGCAAATATACTCTGCAATTTGTTTGAAAAAAAATATTGAAACAGGAAAAATTCTTGAAGACTGGAGAAAAGACTTTCTGTTCAAATTACCACATAAAGGAAATATTCTTTACTGTTCAAAATTGAAAGGTATTACACTTCCTTCTTCCAGTGATCAGTAAAATATTTTTTCTGCGGGGCTATGCTACAAGCCGGAAGGTCACGGGTTCAAGTCCCGATGAGGTCATTGGATTTTTTCAGTTGACCTAATCCTTCCAGCCGCACTATGCCCTGGGGTTTACTCAGCCTCTAACAGAAATGAGTACCAGGAATTAATTAAATAATTTTCCTGGGGAGTAAAGCGTGGCAGGCATGTAGGGCTGACAACCTTACCGCCATCTCTGAGCAGACTGTCTAGATAATGTGGGACCCTCAACATCTCACAACCCTATGGGCCTTCATGGCCTGGTACAGGGATAGCTTTACTTTACTTTACTTTTACATGAAAGAATAAAAAATGGAATAGAACGAAAACTAAGAAGAGAATAAACAGGCTTTAAAAGCAATACTAAAACTCATACAAGAATCATACAAATATTGTACTTGCCAGGTTACACCCAATGGGAAACTTAGTTCACTTATGGAGACGAGTACATGTGTCAAACAAGGTTGTATTCTCTCACCAACCATTTTTCTTGTCATGATGGATTCAGTAATGAGAAGTACCACAGAACACAAACAAAGAAGAATACAATGGGATCTCACATGTAAACTAGAGGGCTTGGATTCTGCAAACAATATACGTCTTTTAGTACACAATTTTAAAGATATGACAGAAAAATTGGTTGATTTAAACAGAGAAGCTAGGAAGTTTGGAATAAAGGTTAATCAAGCAAAAACAAAAGCAAAGCACATAAATAACAAAAAAAAACTACTTCTACTCTAGACAGAAGAGAAATAAGGAAATGTTGATAAATTCCCTTTTCTTGGTAGTATAGTTATAAAGGAGGATGGTGATATGGAAGATGTAAGAAATAAAATATCTGAAGCAAATTGGGCTTTTAATCAACTACAGAGAATCTGGAAATCAAGTGATATTTCATTAAGAACAAAACTAATAATTTTCAACTCTAATGTGAAATCAGTTTTATTATATGGATGTGAGACATGCCGAGTCACCCAGGAAGTATGTAGATAATTACGAAGTTCTGTAAATCTATACCTCCATAGAATAGTAAAGGTAAGATGGCCAGTTATAACAATGAACGATGAACCACGGTAACAGACAAATTAAATACAAATAACTGAGCAGATAACCAGATGTAAATGGAACTGGACTGGCCATACTCTTCGAAAAGAAAATGCAATTGAGGAGGAGGCTTTGGAGTGGAACCCACATGGACAAAGGAAAAGAGGAAGGCCGAAGAGGAACTGGTGGAGAACAATACGAGAGGAAGCCTCGACTGTCGGGAAGACATTGTGAGAAATTAAACAACTCAGCAAGAACTGTGTGAGATTGCGACAATTTGTTAATGCTGTGCTCCAGTGGGAGCTAAAGGACTACAATGAAGATGATTTGATATTTCCATTTGTATAATAAAGATTTGTGTAACTTAGGTTTTGAGAAATGTTAACCACAGACATGGCTGTCTCTCTCTCTCTGTTGCACATCGACATACACCTCCATGTTCCCTCAGGGCCTTCGTTTTGTCAACAGTGATGTTTTTCAGGTACATATCCCATGCAACTGATGACTATTTTTATATTCATTCATTCATTCATCATTTAGCTCTTTGTTGGGCCCTGACAACATTTCAGTTTCATAATCCTATACAGTCAGTAGGTCTCCTTGGATGGGGATAAACCAGTCACAAGGCCACTACCTACACACACAAAACACATAATAAACACACACAGACATCCATGCCTCGAGCGGGATTCAAACCCATCACCCCAGTGTTTGAGCATTTAAAGACAGTTCATGCCTTAGACCAAGCCACCATGATTGATCTTTCTCATATTACACAACAATAAAAAAGCAATTTAATTTGCCACATATTTTAAAAATGTGTATATATAAACTAATTGTGATTTTGTCATTATACAGGACATTTAAGTTGCACTAATAACAGCTGGTTCTTAATCCTCAATAATTTAACATCGTTGTACTTACTACAATGTCTGGAGTGCTTTCTTTGAAGCGAATTGCAGGCATTGGGAAATCAACTCTGTCTTGGTAGGAATACTGGCCATTGTACCCAAATCCAACAACTTCACGATTTCCAATCCGGCTACGGCCATGGATACAAGCCTTCTGAAGTTTCTGCACTTGCCTCAGTGACGAAAACAACAGTCGACTAGCCATACTGCCTAAATAATAAAGTTGCACTTCAATAATTCTTATGTACAAATAAAAACAACAAAGTATTTTAAAGTATTTAAAGTATGAAATGCAGTAGCAGCAAAGGATGCAAAACTACAGAAAGGTATTTTAAAGTATCTAAAGTATGTAATACAGCAACAACAAAGGATGCAAAACTACAAACATCCTAACAGGATGTTAACCTGGCCCAACAAAATCAAGTAAAAATTAAAATGTCATAATATATTGCTGCAAGTTAATATATTTACAAGAGGGTATTTGTAAACTGTTTCACTTGATTACATGCACAGAATGCAGAGTAACTGTCACGAGCATTTTTGATAAGCCAACACACCCAAATCAAGCAGCTTAAACCATTCACAGCACAGATATGAAAGAAAATAAATATTAACTCTATATGAACTAACCTAACACAAACTGTAGAAAAATATCAGTTATATACTAACTAGCAGTAGTATTGTAACCGTTCTTTGGTTCTACTAGCTCCGATAGAGAAATCCAACTCCTCTCGGGCCGTGTTGACTGGCCACGACTTAGGTGATTGGTGGGGCATTAGGCGTAGGAAAGTCACACTCAACACCAATTAACTGTTTGAAGTCTTTATTCAATCTGCACTATTTAACTGGTAACTGCACCGTAGTGACACACTTCACAGATTTGTGGATGTAGGCTTCCTTACTGTTTACTAAGACACACGTTAATAGTCACCACAGGGGGTGTTTACGGGGATCACGCGTACCCCCGGTAAATGTAAATTTCAGAGTCCTCTTTGCCAAGCACCTTCTGAATGGTAAATATTTGCCCTGGTTACCCAAAATTCGGGCAAAGGACCTCCCACTTCAGATGATGATTGGCTGGACCGGGCAGGCTGGGAGGTTGCTTATCTTTCACCTCCAATTAGAAAAGCGAATATCCACTAGTGTACAGTTTAGGGGTGAACTTTGCCACCTGCTGCGTGGCTGTCAAACTGAGATTTTGGGGTAGCAGGAAACGACGCTGCTAAAATTATGACTTCCCCTGTCAAGTTCAGAATTTCTAAAGAACTCGGCCTTGTGTTACGCATTAACTTGACTGATTTACGGATGGGCAGCTGGCTTCAAGCTTGACCCAAGCCACTTGCTGCGAGTCTCAGGGGGGGAATCTAAAATTGTGAGAAGAAAGTGAGGAATTTCACAGAACCCTAACCATACACAAAACATCAATTGACGATCACATAAACTGGACAGCTACAGTATCACAAGCAGTAAGGACCTTCATAGGTCTCTGGTTGTTACCGCAAGTTTTGCCAAATTCAAAATTCACCAATAACAATATTAACAGCAGTTTCAGAATTAGTATCAATGGTATTATGGAATACGACTTCACAGCAAATTCATGTCCAAACTTCGGCCCGTGTTCGAAGTAAACCGACCAATGGGCGCAATTTGGTTCATGGTAATAAACTGCAGAATTAAGAAAGACTCGCCTTACTTCATATTCCTCTGCTAAGATCAACGAAAAATATCTGAGTGGAAAGACCTTAATGTGAAAATGATTCGTTTATATTAGCAATTCTATAAAAAACTAAGCCCACCAGCAGTACTAAATTGTTGCTACACATAGCATGCACGACAGACAGATACGTGTCAATACATTAAACATTACGCACTAAAACAGCATATTTAAGTCTACTACAAACTGTTACACATGAACAACGCAGAAAATACATATTAAGTCGTAACATATCTACCTCCACACAAGTGTCCACTTTCTTTACACCAAAATGGTTCGGAATAACCCTCGAACCCAAATGCAAGGTTATATGAACATAACATGCATGACGGCGAATGCATATTCTTACAAAAATGGTTACATCACATTTAAAATAGCTTATTTTTATTCATTTCTATGGCTGTATATTTTATAATTAATGTTATTCATAATAAAGAATATAATGAGCATATTTACCTTCGATTACGGAAATCGACTTCTTGGTTTCGAGGATTTCAAGGGTTTATTAGTTTATTACTTAAATTTCCTGAACGGAAGGTATAAGTGAAGAATTGTGTTGCTGACAATTTGATTACCATCACTAAACGCCAAGAAATATTATAAAAAATGCAGAATATAACCGGAGACTAATTAAACAAAAAGACACCCGTGAACTTAAACCACACAACAGGACTCATTTGGCCACAGACCACTAACTTTGTCAGAGCCAAATACATAGCTTGTATTTAAGATGTATATCATAATAGTACTAAAACTGTGTTTGACATGAAGCCTAAATGCCAAAACTTTAATGTCAGAGAAGCGCCACGGGGTCATCTAATCCTAATCAACGTCATTCTTACATACTCATAATCCTCATAATAAGTCTTATTTACTTATGGCGTTATTGAGTCAAGATAGAACAACGTACATCAAGAGGAAAATTGTAAATGCTTTTGTACACCAATTTCATGACGCGATAACTAGATCAGGACACAGAGAGCGATTGTCGGCCAGCATATTACATATAAGATATTTATAAATTATGTATGTAAAGGCGCATTGAGTAGTTCATGCTGTAGAAAAATGAGAGGCACGAAAAATGTTATGTATAGGTTTTTCAGATTGTGGGGTATGAATGAATGAATGAATGTATGTATGAGGGGTAGGCCTTCTCGGCCCTTGCACTGCGACCTACAGTGGTCTATTGTGGGGTACAGCTACATTGCTAGGTAAAGCTCACAACACACGCATGCAACAGTATAAGAATGGCCCTCTTTGCAAGGAGGGTTTTATTGTTAGAAAAACTTCAGCGTGGTCTCAGCTCAATGGAGACCTGCTGTGAATGCTGGAATATTAAAATTAATGAAGATAACACTCAACGGGTCTACTTCTCTTGTGGTCGTCGACTGCCTGAGTCTTGTACAAAGCTCTTATTAGATCCATAATGACTTATGCTAGTCCCACCTGGGAGTTTGCAGCAGACACTCATCTAGTGAAATTGCAGCGCCTGCAAAACAAGGTTCTCCGCACCATTGGCAATTTTCCAAGGCACACACCGGTCCGCGATTTGCACATGGCATTCAAAATCCTGTACCTCTATGACTACATAAAAAAATTATGCAAGAAACTGGCAGAAGTCATACAAAATCATGAAAATGAGAATGTTTGCAACATTGGACAAGGCAAAGCCTGGCACAGAAAGTATAAGAGGCTTAAACTTGGCGGCGGTCAGGCATACGGCCGTTCAAGTGACTAGACTGCCGTGGTAGCGAATACTACTAGAAATAGGGCATAATCTGCTGTACTGAGCCTGGATTGACAGAGGCCTTGTATATATTGTATATAGAAATAGGAATTAAGATTAAATTTGTAAATATATGTAAATACTGACAATGGACTTACTAAAATGGTCTATGACTGACAAATGACACACCTGACCTCTCGTCAGAGAGGGTGCCCCAAGTGGACAGGACAGTAACTTTCATATAAGGAAAAGAATATCTGATCATAAGCCCCTGCCGGGGCTCAACACCAAGACAGACAGACTGACTGACCGTCAGTCACAAAGTGACTTGGACTTGGGACCCAGGTATTTTACATGATTAACAAAGATTAGAATCTACTCTCTATTCAAAAGTGAGCGTTTAAATGCAAATATTAAACTAACCCTCTATAAGGCACTGATCAGATTAGTAATGACTCACGCTTGTCCCGCCTGCGAATTAGTGGCAGACACCCACCTCCTAAAATTGCAGCGCATGCAAAATAAGGTTTTGCGCACCATTGGAAATTTTCCAGGGTGGCACACAAGTCCACAACTTGCACACAGCTTTCAACTTTCCATATGTATACGATTATATAACGGAATTGTGTTGGCAACAGGCAGAAGTCATACAAACTCATGAGAATGAATATGTTTGCAGTATAGGACAAGGTGAAGCCAGACACAGAAAATATAAGAGGCTTAAAACTTGGCGTGGTCAAGNAGTGGCAGACACCCACCTCCTAAAATTGCAGCGCATGCAAAATAAGGTTTTGCGCACCATTGGAAATTTTCCAGGGTGGCACACAAGTCCACAACTTGCACACAGCTTTCAACTTTCCATATGTATACGATTATATAACGGAATTGTGTTGGCAACAGGCAGAAGTCATACAAACTCATGAGAATGAATATGTTTGCAGTATAGGACAAGGTGAAGCCAGACACAGAAAATATAAGAGGCTTAAACTTGATGGTGGTCAAGCTTACCACCATTCAAATGACTAAGTTTTCATTGTAGCATAAGATGTGTAAGTTAGGCATGATCTGCTCTGTAAAGCCTGTACTGATAGAGGACTTGTGTATAGTGCAGAAGGAAAAATTTTCAATAACATGTTATATGTGCGAAATATGCACTTGATGAAAGGTCAAATGTATTCATAAGAGACAAACCCATCTTATCATCAGAGAGGATGTTACATAAGGACTATAACTGCAAGAGTTCAGTTGGAAAAAAAAATCTCTGGTCGTGATCCTCAAGGGGCCTGACGCCAAGACGAACTGACTGGCGGTAAACTGCCAGTCATTAAAGGTAACTCTGACTCTGATTTTGACCCAGGTAGTTGTCAGTTAAGAGTTCAGTTCTGTATGGGAGTTTGCGAAGAAAACAGTTAGTTGCAAGAGTGCATCTGTGAAGATAAGATTTTATGTGTGACATCTGGAGTGTGTAATTCAGTGAGACTTACGGTTCCT